CAGGCCCTGGGATGCGACGCGGGCCGAAGGCTGCCCGCGCCCTCTGCGGGGGGGAGCAGGAGGAGGGGAGCAGCAGGGGCGGCCGGGAGGGGAAGGGGCCGGGGGGCGGGGGCGGGCAGCCAAGGTGGCCGCGGAAGCCGTGGTCGTGGTGGTCGAGCCGGTAGTGGTCGAGCTGCTGGTCGTCGTGGTGGTCGTGGTGGCCGTGGTGGTCGTAGTGGTCGTGGTTTTAGTGCTGACGGCCGGCCTGGTGGTGGCCGTGATGCTCGCGGTGATCGTGGTGGTCATTGGTGGTCGTGGTGGTCGTGGCCGTGGCGGTCCAGGCGGCCCAGCTGGTGGTGGTCGTGGTGGTCGTGGTGGTCGTGGTGGCCGTGGCCGTGGCGGTCCAGGCGGCCCAGCTGGTGGTGGTCGTGGTGGTCGTGGTGGTCGTGGTGGCCGTGGTGGCCGTGGTGGTCGTAGTGCTGGTGGGTCATTTAGCACGCACTGAGAATCATCTCGGCGTTGCCCACAACCAACGTGCGTGGCGGAGGATGCGGGCCCGCCTGCACGCGGTGGCGATGACCGCGGCGCCGTCGCAGGCGCCTGTCCACGGGCGACGGGGGCGGTTACGAGAAAGCGCCCTACACCCCTCCCCCGCAAAGCCGCCAAGACCCAGCCAGCCCTCGCGCCGTCCTTCCGCCGCCTCCCATGAGGGCTCACGAGCACGTGGGGCCGCGCCAGAGCCGCGCCGACCGCCGCCGATGCTCACAGCCGCAGCGGCGCCGCCCGGGCGCCGGAGGCAGACCGGCGCCTCAGCGCCGCGCCCAGCCGCGCTACCCCGTACCATGTCCCACCCCCTCACCTCCGACTCACGCTCACTCGGTGGCCCGTGACGGTCCCTCTCCTCCTCCTCCGCAGCAGCCGTCCTCGAAGCCTCCGCCTCCGCCGCCGTCCCTGGCCCTCCTCCTCCTTTAGCTTCATCATCCGCCGCTGCCCGCCACCGCGCCTGTTCCTGCGCCGCATCTTCCTCCTCCGCTCCTCAGCCTCGTCCGCCTCCCCACGCAGTTGTTGTAGCCTCCTCCGTCTATGGGGGGGCCCTGGCCGCTGAGCCTCCCCGCCTCCGCCTCCTCCTTGCAGCCCCTCCCTCCCTCCTCCAGCCCAGCAGCCTCCGGCCTCCGCCGCCCGCCGCCTCCTCCGCCTCCTCATCATTCATCAGCAGCGTAGCCAGGCATTCATCATCCTGCTCCTGCTAACTTCTCCTCTCTTTCCTTCTCATCCTTGCGCCTCTTCTCCTCCTCCCCCTCCTCCTCCCCTCCTCTTTCTCGTGCGCCCCACCCCCTCCGTCGTACGCACCCTCCGCTCCCTCCTCCTCCTACTCTCCCTCCTTTTCTTCTTTTTTTTTTTTTTTTGTTTTTTGTTTTTTTTTTTTTTTTTATCTTTTTTTTTCTTTTGTTTTTATTTTTTTTTTTTTTTCGTCTTCTTTTTTGTATTTTTTTTTTTTTTTCTTTCTTCTCCTCCTCCTCCTCCTCCTCCTCCGCCTCCGCCTCCTCCGTCAGTCCAGGGTTTTTCGAGCATTACTTCTGCTCTGCCCCCCACTCCCCGAGGCCACGATATCGATTATCTTGGCTATTTAGACGAGAATGTTCCCCTCAACGTTTCGCTCTGCCGCTGATGCTGCTCTTGCAGCGATTATGATTCCCGAGGCTTTCGCACGGATTTACCGAGGGTGTGCCTTAACAGTAGTAGCGCCCTCCAGTTACAGCGTATCATGGAGGGAAGGCACCCGAAGGGAACTGCAGGCTCGCACATAACTCTGCGACCGCCACCGCCCTGGCCCACACCGTCAGAAAGCTCAGGGGGGGCCCACGCCTAACAAGGCGAGCCGAGACAATCGAGCTCATGATTATATCTGCGTGCTGCTCCTCCGCTGCCGCCTCCTCGTCCTCCTCTTCTGCCTCCGCAGGCCGCGCCGCGGGCGCAGGACCCATCCTCCTCTTTTGCCTCCTCTTCGTCCTCCTCCTCCTCCTCCTCGTCCTCCTCCTCCTCCTCCTCCTCCTCCTCCTCCTCCTCCTCCTCTTCCTCTTCCTCTTCATCATATTTATCCTTTTTCCTCTTCAGTTCTTCTCCTCCTCCCCCTCCTCCTCCTCCTCTTTCTCCTCCTCCTCCTCCTCCTCCTCGCTTCTCGACGGCGACTCGCACGCGGGCGCGCCGTTCGGCATGCCAGAGCCGCCCCATGAGCGGTGGGGCCGTGCTCCGGGGGCACGGCCAGCGCCCGTCGGCTGGCAAGGGGTCTTGGCGGCGGCAGAGGCCGGGGGGGCACGTCGGAGGATCAAGTCTCGCGCACGGGTGCAGGCGGGGATCGGGCCGAACGAAAGGGGGGGATGGGGAAAGGGGCGGTTACGACATCTGCTGCGTGCAGCTGGTTTCGGCCCCGCCGCCGGGCCCAGTCCTCGATACATGGCCGCCTCCGGCGCCGGGAGGCGCCGGGGAAATCAGCTACGTGAGCTGATTCACAAAACCCCCCCTTTGCTATCCCCCCTTTCGCCTGGCCCGAGGGGAGCTTCAATTGGTTCCCCCGCCGAACAGCAATCGATGATGTGTCGCCCATGCGTGGCTCATAGAGACACCATTGCCGGGACCCTGCGCCCTCCCCCCATTTTCACCCTCCAAGGAGGGCGAGATTCGGGTGGGTGGTAATGAGGGTGGCCTAATTGGAGTGGTGAAGAAAAGGGCCCTAGAGGGGCCCTGTAGGACCCCTTTCGGACCCAGCTGGTGCTCAAAAGGGCGTGTGAGAAGTGGTTGCGAGAAGTTTGTGAGAAGTAGTTGCGAGAACATACAGCGCACCGGCAGCCCGCGCAGGGCGCGCTTCGGCGCACGCCTTGCAACATGCACCCTTGCACCATTTGGGTCACCCGCTCCTCTACCACCCGCCCGAGGAGGGCGAGTTTCAGGAGGAAAAGAAACACACAGACACAATGAATCCTCGATTCTCCAGAAAATATTGGAAAATATGGGAAGTGAGGGGGGGGGAAGACAGAAACCCAGAAGATATGGGAAAATATGGGGCATCTTTTTATTTGTGTGTGTGTATTTACTTGTGCGTGTCCTGGGGCCCCTGCAGACTTGAGACAGGAGCAGCTGACCTCCGGCGGGGGTGAGGGCCCTCGTCGCCGTGGCAGCGCGCCGCTCGGGAAAGAGCTGGTGCGCCTGGGCCCCGTCCTCCTCCTCCTCCTCCTCCTCCTCCTTCTCCTCCTCCTCCTCCTCCTCCTCCTCCTCCTCCTCCTCCTCGTCCTCCTCTTCCTCCTCCTCCTCCTTCGGCGGGGGGGCGCCCTCGCCGCCGCGGCGGCGCGCCACTCGGGAAAGGAAAGCTGGTGCGCCTGGGCCCCGGGGAGGCTCCGGCTGCACGCGGGAGTGGCCCTCTATAGGCAGGAGCGGCCTCCGGCGCGCGGCCCCAGGGGGAAGGGAGGAGAAGCAGCACACAGACACAATGCATCGTCGATTCCCCAGAAAATATGGGCAGATATGAGAAAATATTTGAAAATATAGGAAGAGCTGTCAGCGCACTGCGCGGCGCCCTCCGCCTCGCCATTGACCGAGGAGGAGAAGGAGGAGGAGGAGGAGGAGGAGGAGGAGGAGGAGGAGGAGGAAGGAGGAGGAGGAGGAGGAGGAGGAGGAGAGGAGGAGGAGGAGGAGGAGGAGGAGGAGGAGGAGGAGGAGGGGAGGAGGAGGAGAGGAGGAGGGGGAGGGGGAGGAGGGGGGGGGGAGGGGCGAGGGGGAGGGGAGGGGGAGGGGGGGGGAGGGGGGGGGGAGGGGGAGGGGGAGGGGAGGGGGAGGGGGAGGGGGAAGGGGGAGGGGAGTGGGGGGGGGAAGGGGGAAGGGGGAGTTGGGAGGAGGAGAGGGGAGGAGGAGGAGGAGGAGGAGGAGGAGGAGGAGGAGGAGGAGGAGGAGGAGGAGGAGGAGGAGGAGGAGGGGGGGGAATGACCCAGTCCCACCCATCCCATAGGCTGTGGGTGATTCGGGGTGGGGGCGACGGGCCTGGAAACAGGTCCTATGGGATGGGGGGGGCACGATAGTCTTCTCGGGACGCGCGGAGCCCGGGCGCCGACAGGCCCATCTCCTGACGGGCCGTGGCGTTCCCCTGGCCAGGAACAGCCGCGACGCGGCAAGGCTCGCGCGTAAGGCCCTCGACAGGCTCCGAGGGGGACGTGAGCCCCAGAGGGGGAGCTACTGGGGCTCCCCCTTCCCGGTGTCCAGGGCGGCGGCGGCTGTCCAAACCCCAGGGGCCCTCGCCCGCGCCGGGTCTCTCTGGTTCTCCCGGCGGGCCTTGGGCTTTCTCCTGGTGAGTGTGCGATCCCGATTTTAAGGGAAGTGGCTGGTTTGCGGGGCGGACCGCCCCTTTTCAGGAACTAGAGGAATTAGTGGGAGGGGGATGAAGGGGGAGGAGGAGGCGGAGGAGGAGGAGGAGGAGGAGGAGGAGGAGGAGGAGGAGGACTCTCCCTGTTTCCGGCCCTCGCTGCCCGCGGACACATGTTGGTCTTGGCGGTTCCACGGAGGCTTCCCGCAGCCCGGTTGTCCTTCGGCATCCCTGCAGTCCCGGGCAGGCCTCGGGTTGAAGGTGGCCCAAGGGAGTTGGCTCGGACAGAGGCGGGTTGCCCGAGCCCGCATTCCGTCCAGTCTCCCTTCTGGAGCAGGCCCGAGGAAAAGTGGTTCAGAACAGCAGAAGGAAGGAGGAGGAGGAGGAGGAGGAGGAGGAGGAGGGAGCAGAAGAGAATCGAATGGCGGAGGTGACGGGCGCGCGTCCGTGGGGCGTGAGCCAGCCTGCCCCTTCCACTCCCCGCCCCTCTCTCTCCCCCTCCCCTGGCATCTCCCGGACGTGCGCATTCTTTTCTCGGCGAGAACCATCGAGGACCATCCTGGACCACCGAGCGAAAAAAACACGCACGAAAACGAAAAGTGCACGGGAGGTGGACGTCCGAGCGATGGCAAGCTCCCGCCGGGGCACGGCGTCTCTTCGGCCCCCTCCCCGGCGCCAGGTGCACCTGCCCCGGCGACGTCTGCAAGGCGTTCGGCGCGGGCGCGGACTTCGTGATGCTCGGCGGGCCCCCGACGGCGGCGGCGGCGGCAGGAACAGCACCGCGCGCGCGCAGTTCCTCTCCTCTCCTTGACGCCGCGTCGGGTAACAAAGTAGGCAGGGAGGAACTGACGTCGAGGAGGAACTGACGTCGAGGAGGGAGGGAGAAGGACCGAGGAGGAGGAAAAGGAGGAGGAGGAGGAGGAGGAGCTAGAGCTGGAGCTGGAGAGGGAGCCGGGAGCTGGAGCTGGAGCTGGAGCGGGAGGAGGATAAAGAGAAGGAGAAGGTGAGGGGACGACGAGGCGTCGGAAGGAGGGGAGCAGCAGGAGCAGCAGGAGCAGCAAGCATAGCAGGAAGAGACCGAGGTGAGGGCAAAGAGGACTCGGAGGAGATGGTGTACCTGTCAGTGTTGCAAGCGCACTTGTTGCCAGACGGGGGCTCTCCCATTGTCTTGCAAGACCTGCGTCTACAAAGGCAGCACGCCCCCCTTTTCCTTACAACCAGTATTGGCTCCTTTGGGGACCGTTTTTTATCTTGGAGGGGGGCGACGACGAGGACGACGACCGCGGTCCACTCAGTCCCCGCCGCTGCCTCGGGATGCCCCCAGGCGCCTCCGGGGGCTTCGTCTGTTTGGGATCGAGTTTCAAGCGAAGAAAGAAAGAAAGAGACCCCTTCCTCCTCCTCCTCCTCCTCCTCCTCCTCCTCCTCCTCCTCCTCCTCCTCCTCCTCCTCCTCACGCTCTTCGCCCCCTAGCTGCCATAATTGCCTTGATGCCCCTCCCTTGTGGCGGCGGCTGTGCAGGCGGCGATCCGGGAACACGCGCCGAAGCGCACTGTTGCTGCTGTGGCTGCTGCGGTAGCGGGCACTGTGATGTCTGCGGGTTTGCGGTCCTCTGCGCCAGCATTTCTGCACAAGGGGCGAGTTCAGGATGCACAGGGCGAAGCTGCAGGTTCCGATGATCGTATACAATTGCTCGAGTAACTTCGAGCTGTGCGCCGAGCCTAACGTTTACGTGAGAACAGAAGCGATAAACGGCCAAGCAGGCTATGGTGGTCCAAGAAGATGGTCCAGCCGATCCTCTTCTTCCTGATGGCTTTCAGCTTCGCGCTGAGGCCATTCCACAGCCAGCAGGCGCAGCCAGCCAAAGCGCAGACCTCGGGTGAAGTCTTGCTGCAGAGCCCGCTATGGCACATGCTCTACGTCTGGGCCGCTCTTGTTCACCCCCACATCCTGGACGCACCACCTCTGATCAGCACGCCGCTGGTTCAGCTCCGCCTTCCTTGGCGGGCACCTTGCGACGAGCCGCAACCGCAGATGAGGCGAGTTCTTGCCAGTCTCCGGGGTGATCCTTAGCAGCGTCATCAGTTCCAGCCCGAGCTCATTCACAATCTCGGGCGGATCCGAAGGGTGCTTCGGCGGGGAAGCCGTCCTTTGGCCGCGTTGAGGACGCCAGCGGTTCCAAACCCAGCCGGCTTGAACCTTGGATGGGACAGCGAAAAAATGGTTTGTTTACGTTTGCGCAGTAGCCATCCACACTGTCTTTTCCTTTCGCGTTCACATATCAAGTTGGGTGCCTGCATGTGTCGAACAGTCTGCACAGTTGTTGCGTCTTGTATTACAAGTTCTCGAGGCAGCACATATTCTGAGGGGTGTTTTCTTCTGGCCTCTACAGCTCCGCATTCCGACTGTGCGCCCCTCTTGAGCAGCGCTTGATTGCAACAGGTCTCATTCGTTTGTTCTTCCAGTAGCCAGGCAGCCCCTGACTATGCCCTTACACCCAGTTTGTCACCCAGGGGCTTTCTGGGCCAAGTTGCCTACGGCGCAGCGTCGAGCGAGCATTGTCGACGATGGGGCTGGAGGCGGAGCGGAGCGTGCAGCGTGCAGTGCAGCGGAGGGTGGAGGGCGGGGGGGCGCCCGTGGCGGCCAAGGCGGGATGCTGGCGGGCCACGACGAGTGCGGTGGCCAGGCCCGCCCCGCGCGCGTGGGAGAGCGAGGCCCTTTGGATGCCCTCGGAGGCTTTCCGAGGCCCTTGGGCGCCTTCGGAGGCCTCTGCAGGCCGCAGGAGGCGGCGGCCAGGAAGGAAGGGAACGACGACGACGATGACGACGACGACGCGCGACGGGCGACGGGCGACGGGCGACGGGCGACGGACGACGGACGACGGACGACGGACGACGGACGACGGACGTCATCGTCGTCGTCGTGTCGGTTGTTATGTGGGGCGGTTTTAGAGGCTCGTTGCCGCGTCTGAACGCAGCTCGAAAGTTTGGGCAGGATGGATCCCGCCAGGGGTCGGGGGATCGACGGCCTGTGGGCCCCACTGGACGCGCGACACTTTGGTTGTCCAATGAGCCCAGTCCGCGCCATCAGAACCACGCGTCGCTTCGGGGCTTCAGGGATTAGATACTCCTTCCCCCGCAGTGAAGGCCTCACATCATTCCAAGACCTCCAGCATGCGAGTTACTGCGTGTTCTGTTTCTTTTGGAGGCTTGATTTGGTATGGGTATGTTCTCTTACAGCTTGATGGTGCGAAAGCGCAATGATTGTGCTGGCGAGGGAAAGGCTCAGGCGTGTAACGTGTCTGCCAGCATGGACGCCTAATCATGAGTTCTTGCGTTTATCATACGTAACTTAAGTTGTGCGAGCTGCGTGGTTCACCCCATGTGGTGCTGTCGATGTGGTCCAATCTATGCGATGTACGTTTTGGGGCTCGATCTACATGATGTACTTCACACAACTCTTAGCATCCGCGCGTGACCACCTCCCATGCTCACGCACTTATCCCACCGGCCCACCCGCAACTGAATGACCAAGCTCATATCGCCATGATGTCAACGAGCGCACGGGCGCGTGGAAATCACCCGCGCAGACGAGTCCGTCCTCCAGGTCGCGAAATGGTGGTGGCGAGGGTGACGGGCGCGACGCCAACGGCGATAGCGCTTAGCCGCACAGGTCATAGAGCAGAACGGCGAGTACTTCAAGGTGTTCTATGGCATGTCCAGCGACACGGCCATGAAGGCGCCCCCTTTTTGCCCTGTGCATCAAAACGTGCGTAAAGGGTGGACCCTTGTCGCAAGGGCACCTTGTATCCTTCGGTTCTGGCCATCTTTAGCACGTTTAGGCGCGCGCATCCTTGGTGTCGCGCCGTTCCAAGGGCCTTGCATCCTTACATTCCATCCTTACGTCTGATTTTGAATGTAGTACCAGGTCACCCGCGGGGGCGCGACGACAGTTGCGCTCCACTCTCTCTGGGCCGCCGAGGTGCTCTCCTCGATCGGGCGGCGCGAGCGCGCCGTCCCAGGACGCCCTCAGGTGCCCCAGGAGATCGCCGGGAGGTCCTCGTGGCAATTTCGAAGTCTAGGCCTCCCAAGCGGGGTCCGAGCAGATGGGGTCGGAGCGCCACGAGCCCGATGGTCTCCACGCCGAACGGCGCCGATGCATCGGCGACGCGTCGACGATGCTGCGCGATTCTTCGACCCCATCTACTCGGACCCCACTTGGGAGGTCTCCGGGGAGACCCGGAGATCCCCCGAATTCCCCACGTATAGGCGCGCCACCGTTGTCATCGCCGGCGTCGACGGTGTTGCAACAACAGCAAGAACGCGTGGCCTTCACCTGTTCCTGCCTTTTTTCGGCCTGTTCTGGCATGGCGAAGTCCCCCCTCCCACCAGTTGGGAAATTCGCAATGTTCACGACCCGACCCTCATGCGAGGAGAGACGAACCTTGTTTGAGTCCACGGGCACAAGCGGGCACGAGGCCGGTGCAGGGTGCCGGTCGGAGCATCGGGCGGGGCGCGCCGGAAGATGCTTGGGGGCGACGCGACGGGACGGCAGGGGCGGGGAAGGAACAGCCCTTCAGAGCGTGTAGTGCGTTCGAGCCGATCGGAGGTTGATAGACCTCCTACCCTGACACGTCGATTAGCAGATTGGCCGTCTTCGGTTCGCGAGAGGGCGTCGCGGCCGTCATTTTTGCGGGTGCAGGTCCGTCGGTGTGGGTCCTGGGCCGTCTTCACTGAAGGGTGGTTTACGAAAGGGAGGTTTGTCCACCGCCGAAACCGAGGTATCATAAGATCGAGGTCGGTTCCGGAAGGGTACCCTAATGCTCTTTGCGCTTATTGGCTATTCTTGTGCACCCTGGGGAGGGTGCCCTACAGTACCGCTTTTAATACGTGCTCCGCGTGCGGATCATGAATTGAACATGCAGGGATTTAGTATTAAAAACAACGATGCGGTCATGCATACATATTCATAAGGTAATCATGCATTAAAAATCCTATGTTTAGAAAAATGCCATGTATTAAAAACTGCCCTGTAGGGTGTTCTGTGCGTTTTGGCCGGCGGAGGGGTCTCGTGTCCCTTGAGGGACGTGTGCTTCTGTCCTGGATCGGGCTGTCTGCACAGCACGAGGAGGAGAAACAGCACGCCGCTCCGAGAAGCACGCCGGCGGCGTGGCCGAGTACCGCTCCTCCGAGGGGAAGACGGTGAAGGCGCCGCCGCCCGCCGCCGAGGGCGCCGTCGCCGCCAGGCATGGGGGAGGGTGGCGGCCGCAGGCGCCAGTGGCGGGGCGCCGCCGGCGAGGGGCGGTGGCCGCCAAGGGCGGTTGCAGCCCAAGGGGAGGAAGCGGACCTGGAGGAGGAGGAGGAAGAGGAGGAGGAGGAGGAGAAAGAGGAGGAGGAGGAGGAGGAGGAGGAGGAGGAGGGGTGAGGGGAGGAGGCGGCGAGGGAGGAGGAGGAGGAGGAGGAGGAGGAGGAGGGAGGAGGAGGAGGAGGAGGAGGACGAGGAGGAGGAGGAGGAGGAGGGGGAGGAGGAGGAGCAGAAGGGAGCAGAAGGAGGAGGAGGGGAGGAGGAGGAGGAGGAGGAGGAGGAGGAGGGGAGGGGGAGGAGGAGGAGGAGGAGAGAGGCGGGGGAGGAGGACGAGGACGAGGAGGAGGACGAGGAGGGAGGAGGAGGGGGGGGGAGGAGGAGGAGGAAGAGGGGGAGGAGGAGAGGAGGAGGAGGAGGGGGAGGAGGAGGAGGAGGAGGAGGAGGAGGAGGAGGAGGAGGAGGAGGAGGAGGAGGAGGAGGAGGAGGAGAAGGAGCCGAGGCGCCTCTGAGCGCCAATCGACCAGCGGTTCCTCGCTCCAGCTTCGATCAGTAGCTCTGACTCAGCCTCGGGAGAGTTGAGTTCACGTACCTCTTGCGCGCCACGCGCCGCCTCGAGGACATCTTCCCACATGCGCAAGCGGCATGATATCTCGCGCCTGCAAGAGAGACATGACAGGCGGGGCGATGCAGAGGCACTCCGCCATGACTTGCATGGCGTTTCTCTCGGTTCTGCAGGCGCGCGTCGGAAATTGCCGGGGGTGCCCTCTCTATCTGCTTCCCCGAAAGCCATGTGCTCGTCGCGGGCACGACGCACGCCCACATCGAGTCTGGCAATTTTGTTGTACCGAATTGCAGTGAAGGTGTTGGTTCCTCATGAGTACTTAGCATTAGTTCTCCTACCTCAGGAGAGCCGCCCTGGATCCCCCACCGCGCTACTCGGCGAAAGGATGCAATTCGGGATCCTGAGAATTGACAGGTCTTGGCGGGAGGACGTTAAACATTTCGCGCTCGAGCGCGGCGGTCGACGTGGCGGGGATGGCCCAGGCTGGCGCCACGGGGGGCCGAGACCGCCACGACCTCTTCTCCTCAGCGCTCGCTCGCTGGACGGAGACGCGTCGGCATGGCCCGGCCCGTCGCGAGACTCACACTGGTACCTCTCTGCGTGCCAGTAGTTTTGGTCACCATTTGTTTGCCCAGCCCGCTGCTGTTTCCTGACTGCTCGATATCATGCCCTGCGTGGAAAGTTGGCCGGGTCGGCAATGTCTCCGGTCAAGATCCCGCGGTTTAGACGATTCGCGCGCGCCCCGCCCGAGTTTCGCAAGATCCCGCCCTGGGCAGGCTCGAATCCGACGTTTCATGCCGAAGTCGATTTTATGCTTCGGGGCATGGACCTATCGCGCTCGATTCAGGAGCAGCCGCTACGCACGGAGCGGAACATGCGGGGAGCTTGCAATGAGACTCGTCAACGGCTTGCCCAAGTAAAGGCGGCCTGCGTTGATGATAGTATTTGCGGTGCCCTCGCTGCATTACGAGGGGCTCGCGCGCGCTTTCTCGAATTCGGTTGCATGCCGCGCCGATGATAGCTTGATATTGATCGTTGTTCAAAACTTTCGATGCGGGCGCTGGCGACTGTCGCTCTCTGCGTCTTCTCCTGCGACCACGCACAGCCCCTGCAGGGCTCTCTCGCACTTGAGATTGAAAAAGAAACCGAGCAGGAGTCTGAAGCTGAGGCTACGGCCAGGCTCAGAGCTAGCCCGCAGGGGCACAAAGAGTTCTGGCGCCCCGCCCACGCGGGGATCTTTTCGGCGTGCATCCTCGCTCCCGATTGGGAACCCCAGGTCGCGCGCCGCCGATGCTGGGGGGGCCCTTCGACGCGCGCTGGGGAGCCGTCTATGAGGCCCTAGCGGCGATGGGCATATACGGGGCGCCCTGGAAGATCACTGGCAACCGATCAGCGGAGTCAAGCTTTATCAGTGGCGCATAAATTTAGACGACCTTGAGCTGATGGCCCACGGCATGCCGGAGTCCATGCCAGGGACCGATGGCATTGTTTACAGATTCCCGCCGCGGCGCTGCGCGATCTCCACCGTCGCTCCCCGGACTCAGATGGGGGCGGGCTCCCTTTGTCTATGCGAAAGGTGCGTTTGTTTTGCCTGGTCTAAGGCCGGCGTTCATCTGGCCGCTCTATCCTCGCCCAGCTGCGCGCCGTCGACGCGTCGCCCCCCCGCCGCGGTCGGCGCCGGCTGCGAGCCCGCGCCCGTTGCGCCGCCCTGCCTGCATGAAGCTAGCTGCCCGCGGCGCCGCCCACGGGGCGCGGGTTTCTCCGGGCAGGCGGTCGACGACGGCATAGATTCTTGGCAGTTGATCCAGGGGCTTCAGCATTTGATGCGCGGGAGGTGCCGCCCCTGCATCCCATTGGCAGATGTCGTGGCTGCTTTCCCGAGTTGCGATGTCCTGGCCCCATCGCGTTCTGGCGGCGACGCCGGCCCACCACTGGGCCGGCGGTTTCTTCGAGGCCCCCTGCCCTGACAGCATAAAGGCGATGTGCTGCGTCGGGGCGGGCCATCGACGCATTCAGTTCCTCCGCGGGCCCCATCCATCGCGCTCCTCGTCGCTCTGGCGCTAGACTCCTGCATCGCGTAGATGAACGATCGGCTTCTGCGGATCCCCTTGGCGAGCGCAGATGACTTTACGTCATGGGTTTGGAGTGTGCTTCTCGCGCCGCCTCTTTTGCTTCGCAGTCACTTGATAGGGGCGCGGGCCATTCGGCGGACCTTGGGAAAGTGCGTTTCGGCGCATTGAGGAGAGGGCTCGGGGGCGACAGCGGGCCCCCTTGCAAAATGGCAAACAATCGAATATGAAGAATGGCAATGGCGACCTCGCACCTCGCGGGCGCCTGGCCACGCGTTAAACCATCAGCGCGACAGCGTCTGAGCAATACCCCTGGCAAGGCCACTGGCGGCCCTGGCCCGCACGCGCGGGCGGGGGAGCGGAATGGGACGAAGAAGGCGCGGCCGTAGTCAAGCACCTGGGTGGCCGCCAGCTTTCGCCTCTGCAGCTCTGCGAGCAGATCGCGCCACTTCTGCCGATCAGAGTGGCTCGGCATCCGCCCGCCGCGCCCGCGGCGGACCCAACGCCCCGCCACAGACCGCGCGGACTCAAGCCCGTCAGCGGTGAAACCGCGGGGGGGGGGGGGGGGGGGGGGGGTGGGGGGGGGGGGGATTTCGCCCGCGGAGTGCACCAACTCGTGCTCGATGTCCCTCGCAGCCCACCCCTTGCTCTTCTTGAACGCCTTGAACGCGGTCACCGTGGCCTTCCAGGAATCGCTAACCAGGAGGGCCCCTTTTGTGCATGCCGAGCAAGTGGAGGTCGGTCAGCATCTCCTCGTGCCCGCGGGGTCTGCCATCGAAGGCGTCGTTCGGGTGGTCCAGGATGCGGAAGAACCAGGCGTCGGGGCGACCCTGCGCCGTTGCGCCCCAGACCCAGACCGTGTCTTTTTGCGGGCGGGCTGCCCTCTTGTCGAGGTGCGCCTCGCCCACTGGCACCACGAGCGTGAATTTGGATGCGTCGGCCTTCTTGGTCAGCGTGACACCAGCCTTCTTCCTCCGCGCCGCCGCTTTCGCAGCAATATTGCCTTTCTTCTTGGCGAGCGAGCTCCCGCCGCGGGCCCTGACCGCCGTTGCGCGCTTCGGCCTCTTTTTCGCTTTCGGCCAGAACCCAAGATTTAGACCTGATGCTGCTGAGCGCCTGAACCACCTTGCCCTCGAAGATCAACGCCCAACACCCAGCGGTCGCGCGTCTGGCACGTCACGCCCGACCCTCGCTGCATCCCTGGTGGGGGTACTCCATGACCCGCATCGCCACGACGTCGAAGAATTGTTCCCACGACGACCCTTGGACGCCCAGCAGAATCGAGCCAGCACACATGGACATATGGCTCTTCGGCTTGCACGATAAGCACCCCGAATTGTAATCGCAACAGCGCTGCGCCCATGTGCTCTTTTCCTAGCGGTAAAAAGGTTTGCAGTTGTCGCCGCCGCACTCGGGGCACTCGTGCGACGTTGGCAGGAAGCCCGTGACCTGTGCGAAGATGAGGACTCGCAGTGGCGAGTTGTTGGCCATGTCGCCCGTGTCGTTGACCTTCGCGTAATTGGCGCTCCGAAAGTAGTCGTCTTTGCAATTGAAGTCGAGGTCTTTCGGCGAGGCGCAGTGCTCCTTCAGGTTCTTGTACTCTGCCATTCCGACCACCACCGCGGTCGCGCCGCTGGGGCCCCGGCGGTGGGCGGTTTGCCCCGTGCGCGGAAACGCCTTCGAACCAGAACAATTGCGGTGCATGCGCGGCGCGGACATCGGCTGCCCCGCTCGCAACTGCGTTTCAAGCGAGGGAGGGGGGCGACGACGACGACGATATTTTCAATCAATCGGGCCAAGGCACAGCGGCATGGCGTTCGCATTGGGGTTCGCATTCCCATGCGTTGCCCAGGCTCCGCTTCAACAAAGCAGCCGAGCGACGTGCGCGTGCATCTCAGGGCGCGTACGCATCAAGAAGAACAGTAATGTGCAGGGCTATGCAGCGTGCTAACTGCTCATCTGGGGCACCAGCGGCGCGCGCCCCCTCGGCGGCGCGTGCCTTGTCAGCGTCGGATCCGAAAGCGGCAACAGCCCGCGCGTGGGCGCCCCACTCACTCAGCCCCTCAGGCGGCGTACTCTTCCGCCTGCTGGCGGCCTCATTCTATTCGTTGGCGATCCTGTTCGTCCTCCATGTCTAGGCGGGCCTCGAGCTCGGCGCCCAAGTCCATGCCGTCGCCCGCTGGTGCCCCTGCTTTGATGGGCGATGGCGAGGATGAGATGTCGATGCTGACGCCGCTGGGCACATGGAGGCGTCTGAACTTGCCCTTGGCCTCGGGGGACTCGATGAGCTCCCTCTTTGACGCTGGCGAGGGGGGGCGCTGGCGCATCTGCGGGGCCGCTAGGCGACGCCGCGCCGCGGTCCGCCGACGCAGCGGCGCCTGTCAAGTGAGCGCCCCACTCGTCGTAGCCCACCCTTCTCGGCAAAGGCGGCTTGGGCTCGGCGGGGAAGATGCCCGCGCCGATGATTGTCGACACGGTCGGCGCGCCCTGACCATGCATGACTCTTCAGCTAGTCCATCGACCACTTGATGTCATCTTCGAAGTAGGCGGGGTACACGGGCTTGCCAGGGTATTTCTTGCACTTGCCGAGCGCCTCCTTGCACTTCTGGTTGAACCGGTCTGGCTTCTAAGGGTTGGTGTAGGTACACCATGCCGCGCGACTCTGCTCGTCGCTCGGGTCGCGGAGGCGCGCCCGCTTGTCCGTGCACAACACGACGCGCGTCCGCGACCCAACGGCCAGCAAGTCCTCGTCGTCCTTCACCTGCCGCAATGATGGCCTCACCAGCCGCAGGAAGTCGTCACTGCTCACATCCTTCGCTCGCCCTCCTCCCACATGGAAGCGAGCTCGGCCTCGAAGTGTTTGTCGCACGCGCTGCGGCAGACCTGACGGGGGGTCCAGCGTCGAACTCGGAGCGACCCCACCGAGACCAGATCGCGGCGTCTTCCTCGCTCGGGCTCAGGAAGGCCCTCAGGATAGACGCCGTTTGATCAGCCGACCCGCCGCCGTCAAAGATGGCGGGCCTGACGCGGGTCGCTGACTCACCTTTGAAGAAATCGTGCTTGGCGGTCACGATCGTCGGGACAAGCTCCCCCGCGTCGCCTTCTCCAGACTGTTCCAGCTCGATCTCCACGCGGCTCTTCATGAAGGCCAGGGCCTTCGACCCAGCGCTCTTCCCGACGCGAGTCTCGACAAGAGGGTGGAAGCCAGGATGGGCCTGATCACATTCTTGAGGAACCAAGGGTCGAAGTCGCGAATCGCCAAGACCTTGGTCTCGAGGCCCCTGGCGTTTGCTCTGCCTGTCGCATTATTGTTGAGGGCACTCTCGATGCGACTCTCCTCCCAGCCGAAGATGGGGGATTCTGGCCGAGAGCTCCCCCGATCCGCGAACACCACGAACTGGTCGGCAGAGTTGGTGCGCGGCCCCTTATGACGCATGAACATGCACCCTGCCTCATTGAGCTCCCACACGGCCGTCTTCCTGGCAGCGCCCTTGCCAGCCTTGGGGACCACGGTGTAGTAGCGCAGCTGGTAGCCCTTCAGCTTCTCCAGCATGTACTGCACGGTCAAGCGGCCAAACCTAAACTGGTTGCCATAGCGCCATATCAGACCAGCCCCGCGACACACGCGAACGCACGAGTCCGCCCTGGCCGGCGCCCCCAGGAGGTTCACGCCCTTCAAGATGTCGTGCTTGCCGTCGGGTTTCCTGACAATGAACACCCGCATGGAGCACTGGCCAGGCGGCTCCATGTTCAGGGAGAAGGGCTCGGGCACGCCCTTGAAGTCGCATTCCTTTTGCGCGCTCGCGCAGAGTGTCCCAAGGAACCTCGCCTTCGCAGTCGCCTAGGTAATCTGCGAAATGTTGGACCATCTTGACGCACTCCGTCCCGAACTGCGCGGGTAGATCGACGATTGTGCACGGCCCTGCCGTCTCCAACCTGCCGACGTTGATGCGCGAGCGATCGTTCGCCCTCAGGTTTTCGGCGCGCTGCAGGGCCCCGCCGAACGCGAGGCTTGGCGCGTAGTCGGCATGGCCCAGGGAGGTCCCCAAGCTTTCCGGCAGCACCACCGCAGGGTTCGTGGCGGGCAGGTTCTGGCAGTGAGAATCGAACAGGAATGAGTCTCTTGGAGCCGAAAAGCTTGAGAGAAATATCGCTGCGGCCATGTCGCCCCCTCCTCCTCCACCACCAGGGGGCCTCCTTTTTTTGTGGGCGCCCGTCAGAGTGGCAGCGCCTTCGCCGTGACGCTGCTCTGCGGTGCGTTATACTGCGGCTTGCTATGGTGTGGATGCGCACATGCATACGTAGACGCATACATGCATCAATGAAAGCATGCATGCATACGCGCATGAATGAACCCACACCGAATCGCAATCGCAAGCTGCGCGCTGCCACACCCAACAACAGCAGCATATTGTAAATCACGTGCACGCGAACGGCCGTGTTTTCGGGCGCGGGGGCGGGAACCCATCTTTTGAGTTCCCCAGTTTTCGTATGTTCTGAACCTGTCCTGGGTACCCGTCCACCCGCGCCGGCGTGCAGGACTGCTGGGCTGGGTTGGGCTTAGGATTTCCACATACGGCCGAAGGGGCATCGCATTTGTGGATGCCCCCATACAAGGCATGGAGTAATCAAGGAACCGGAGCTACACATAAAACGCATGCACGGCTTCCTGCTTATTAACACCACAGTTGTCGGAAATCTTCCGTGCGGAAAGAATGCGAAAGTGAGGAAAGGAAGGGCGGGGTCCATGACCGAGGGTGCATCCATTTGTGGATGCCCCCTTCTGCCGAATCAAGGATCGGGGGAAAGAATACATGAGCAAACACAGAAAACAGCATTGATTCCTGCTTACAACCTCAACACATGTTGGAATTCTTCCGTGCGGAAGAAAAAAGAGAAAGGGGGAAGGGAGGGTGTAGTTCGCAAGAGCAAGCCAGAAGCACGGTCGAAGTGCAGCGTGCTTGCTCGAGCGTGTTGTGACGTCGCCGCCGCCGCCGCCGTCGCCGCCGTCACTGCCGTCGTCTTTGTCGTGGTCGTCGTCGCCGCCGACGCAGTCGTCGTCGTCCTCTTCCTCCTCCCCTTCCTCCTCCCCCTCCTCCTATTCCTCCTTTTCCTCCTCCTCATCCTCATCCTCTTCCTCCTCTCAATCGGATTCCCTTATCGGGGGCGAATCAAGCAAAACCCGAAAGGAAAACAACAACAACAACAACAACAACAACAACAACAACAATCACTTTACCCGAACGCTCAGTGTTCTCACCAGTGCCAGGGTTTTCATGCGACGCCAGCCAATACCCCCACTTTGTGGGGGGGCAATGCAAGCTCTACCAAATATCCACACGACTCTTCGCCACCACCCACACCCAGCTTCCCGCCCTATGACGTTCGGACACTTCACTTCGTGGCCTGCGGACGACCGTGGCTACTACACTGGCGTGGATACACACCCACAGAAGTTGTTAAGGCCTACGTTCGTACACCCACAGAAGTTGTTTAAGCCTTGTTAACCCACAGAAGTTGTTAAGCCTTCCACAGAACATCTGTTGCATATGATGCATATGGTACATGATACACATGATACACATGATACGTACTCACAAGATAGTTGATCCATCTTTAGGGTAAATTCTGAGGGATGTGGGAATCAAAGAGCGGAGATATGGTTGTCCCGACGGTTGTCTCGATGGTTGCGCAACCGTTGTCGCAGAAGTTCGAAAAAGTTGCTCGCAAAAGCCCGTTTGACAGAAATGTTTAAAAAGTGTTGGGTTTCCTACGAATCCGCAAGAGCGCGCGGGATGAGATTTGACAATTTTTTGTTGAAAAACCATTGGTTTTTTGATGTTTTTATGTTAAAATCGCTCCGAACACTAAGCTTTTGGAAGGATTTCGTCTTGCGCGCGCGAATGTCCACTTTACCTTATTTTTTGCAAGGGATTCTTGAAATTTGATTATATTAGAACAAGAAATGTCATTTTCTATTGTTTTTTGCAAGGGAAAGCGGATTACAACAAAACAACCGGATCCTGTACACACCCTCTTTTCTGAGGCTTCCTCACGAAAATGATGAAAATGTAGCTGCGGCCTAGGCGGCGCAGGGGGGGCGCGCACCAGGGGGCCCAACAATAATTATTCTTTAGAATAAATTATGTTCAACAACAACAACAACAATAACAACAACAACAGTAACAGCAACAGCAACAGCAAAACGATCCTGGGGGACTCCTCCACAATTACTCAATATGAATGCTACTCTCCCTCTTCCCCTGATGACGTCTTGCGAATATTCGCCCCCCCCGCGTATTGTTTTTTACACAGGTTTCCCCGGAGTTGGGTTTTCGCTTGCATTTTTCCCAAAATGCTGCTCTCGCTGAGGCGCCAGCCTCATTTTCGGGCCCCGCTCGTTCCGAATCGTGCTCCCGCTGCAGCGCTGGCATCATTTCCGCCGGCGCCCGGGCTGCACGCCCGAGCCGGCGCCCGGGCCGGCGCCCAGGCCGGGTCCGGAGCCGGTTCCGGCCGGCGCCGGAAAATCGAGTTCCGAGGCGGCGCCGAAAAAAGGCCATTCGAATACACATTTGTCTTTTGAAAATGCTGAATTTCTTCTTCAGGCGCCCAGGAGGCCTCCTGGGCTGATTCCGACGCCCAGGCCGGCGCCCGAGCCGGCGCCCAGGCCGGACGCCCGAGCCGGCGCCCGG